TTTAATTATCACACAAAGTCCAAGGTGGTAGTATTATTATTTCCTTTTTATAGTGAGTGTTGGCATAGCAATCCTCAAGTCCTTCTACTTACAGGTGAGTAAGACCATATAAGTCATTGGTCAGTGAGCTCCAGGAAGAAGTGACATGTATCATTTCAGGGATGAAACATAGAATAGGAAATATATAACCTTCCAGGTGATATTTCTGTTAAATTGCAATGCTGAAGGCCTCAGTTTCTGGAGGTGCAATTACAAGTCAGCCTGGAGTACCTGAGTACCCATGCAGAGAAGAGACCCACCTACTGCTCTATGAAGCAGTAATTAAATTTTGGTGGTTAAGTCCCTTAAATCTGAGTTTGGGTATCAGTGCTTTCACAACATACACAACATAATGTAATCTATTGTGACTAATGAATGAAAAAATAACAACACTAGATCAGAGTTAATAAGTACTTTATTCACTTTCCTCTGTAATCGTGAGGTGGGACAACTGTGACCCTTAGGGATCTGCTACCCAACTAGCAGCTCCAGGAATACTGGAGTGACCTAATTTCTACTGTTCTTGGCACTTACATGGTCAGTGCCCTTTCTCTCCTACTCATGGTTGGTCAAGAACTTGAGAGTTTTCCCAGTGAAATCTGAATATGGCCCATGTGCATGGACGACAAGGAGACACCAGAAAAGAAGGTGAGCCACTCCAGACGGTGTGTGGCAGGTACAATAAACAAGGGATCTTAGTGGGCTTGTCTTGGGCAGCTGAAAAATGAGTAAGTAGATCTCTGCACCTACCCACGAGAGGCTTCAACTGGGTTCAGTCACAGGTTCAGTCCAGATGGTCTCAACACACATTGCCTTCTCAACTTTGCACTCTTGAAACAGCTCCCATGTAGAAACCGTGGGTTGAACATACATTACAAAGACAGGAGTGGGGGTGGGGGTGGGATATGGGCAAAGAGCCCTGTCTAGCTCTTGGGTCAACCAGAGGTCATGTCCTCTAGGTGATTCCCCCAACAGGGGAAAAGCATCATTAAAGGAAACAGTAACAATTGCCATTTATACCTGGCTTTAGTTCTCAAGTGATTTTAATGTACATTTTTAAACTTGTGTCTTACATTTTCCCAGTAATTATTGACTTGAACCTAAGTCTTGTACCCATAAATCCAAAACTGTTAGGAAAATATGCAGCATAGGTGAAAATAGATTTTTAAATAAAATCTGGAATACTGTTATAAGGCAACCTTCTTTAAAACTTGAAATTCTAACAAATTGATGTGAAGATTTTAACACTGGACATATGCTCCCTCCCACTGAATCTGGCCTCTGTACCTGCTTAAGTTCTGGTAGTTTCTGGGCCAGATCTTAAGAACTTGGGACCTCCTAATTCCTGTCTCCTGGGACACTCATTCTTGAAACCCAGCCACTGTGCTGCAAGGAAGCCCAAGTAGTCCATGGGGAGAAACACAAGAAGAGCTGACACCCCAAAGCTGCAGCCCTGGCTAAGCTCCAGCTAACAGCCAGCACTCAACTGCCAGGTGTGTCTGTGAGCTGTGTTGGACCTGGCTCAGAGTGAGCTGTCCCACTGAGCCTTCCCTAGAAGGCGCATCTATGAGCACAATACAATATAACTGTTATTTTTAAGTCAGTGGGTTTTAGGGTGGTTCAGTACACTGTAAATCAATGAAATTTGCCAAGGCATACCTTGGTCTGAGGTTAGTGATTTTTGTCTTCTCTTATGGAGTCAAAGAAATGATGTCCTCTGTGAACATGTACTTCCTGAAACGGTCCCTGGGTTTTATTTTACTGGGTGGTTACC